GGAAAGGATGGTGGGCCGTCTCGTAAACAAAACTAACAGAGGGTAGGAAAGGATGGTGGACCGTCTCGTAAACAAAACTAACAGAGGGTAGGAAAGGATAGTGGACCGTCTCGTAAACAAAACTAACAGAGGGTAGGAAAGGATGTGGACGGTCTCGTAAACAAAACTAACAGAGGGTAGGAAAGGATGGTGGACGGTCTCGTAAACAAAACTAACAGAGGGTAGGAAAGGATGGTGGACTGTCTTTTAAATGAAATTAGCCGACGGTACGAAAAGATTCAAGGTTATATTTCGAACATAGTTAACTCAGAGGGTAGCTTAAATATACATTTTTTATGGCGGTCATTCTTACGGACTACGACCGACTTCATGATGGGTCCCTACCTATTCCTACCACAACTGGCCTAAATTTTGACTGCTTCTGAAGACATCATATTTTAAAAAAATCAGCTACTATATATATCAGTACTTTAAAATTTAACAAGTTGGATTTGATAAGAAAAAAAGGGGGGGTAATGGGTCTTGAATGTATCCATTAGAAAATGTTGCTAGGTAACTGAAGGAACTTACTGACCTTGAACAAGCCCTTCCGCCTGATGTAATCCAGTGAACAGACAACCATTACAATAAGGATAGTTAGCATTATCCAACCGGTGATGAATGTCGATTGATCCACTAATACGCCCCCACTTCCTTCAGAAAATAAGAACGACGCTACGTGATACGGATTAGCCAGATCTAAAGGGGTTAGAAAGATTGTTTTTACTTATATAGAAACAAACAATACTTTAACGATTATAAAAGCTCATTACCCACTTCTATTTTAACACAAAGTATATAGGGTTAGTATCAAAATATCCTAATGTATTATGTTCCCACTTTCTGATTTACATGTCATTTTGAAAAACTTCTAATTTATTTTATTTGTTTAGGCGCAATTTTGAGCCTAAACAAATGTTATGGTATTTTGTTACACTTGGAGTTACTTTATATAAACGTTACCTATCCAAATTTTTAGTGTGTACTGACGGGATTTACACATTTTGATATATAGTTTAGAAGAAACGAGCTTTCTACTCCAGATATATATATATACATTTTTTTTAACCAACGTTTCGCCTTGCGGCTCCATCAGGGTTAATATACACAACCTATTAAAATGTTACATTGTCTACCCAAATTAAAATGAAAACACACACACAAACAAATAGCGTTTTTATTTCAATGTACTTTTGAGTGTACAATTTTGGAAATGTTACCTGACAAGGGTGTCATTTAAGGGTGT